ATACAACAAAAACAACGAATACAAAAGAAGTTATGAGTGCTTTAACAGACTACTTCCGGTCATACAGCAGACCAAAGTGTATTATTTCGGATCGTGGGAGTTGTTCTACGTCAACGGATTTTACAACTTTACTGAGGAAAGAAACATAAAACACATTAAAATTGCTACAGGGTCACCACAGACTAATGGGCAAGTTGAGCGAGTAAATAGGAGTTCGGGACCGATGATTGCAAAACTATCGGAACCAGAGAGAGGATCACATTGAGATGTAATTATTGAAAAAGTAGAGTACTCGTTAAACAATACACTTCATAGCAGCATCAAACAGCTTCCCAGTGAAACTTTATTTGGAAAAGCTCAGAGAGGATAAAATAGTGATGAATAAAAGGAAAAATTAGGAAAGGAAGAAAAGATTGAGGATAATAAACAAAATTTAGAACAGATTAGGCAGAACGCGGAAGAAAATCAAATAAAATCTCAAACAAAAAACGAAGCCTATTACAATGCGAAAAGAAAGATTAATACAGAATATAGAGAAGGAGATTATGTCATGGTAAAGAATTTTGATAGTACTGCAGGTACTCCATTATTGGAAAAGTTTTAAGAAATGACAGATTTTTATGACATCGACGGGTTTCAGTTATCTCGGAATCCATACCAAGGGGGTTGGAGCGCCAGTAATATTCGTCATTGGATAAAAGATGAAAATAAATCTTAATGAATTAAATAGAATGAAAATACTAACAATAAGAATGAAATTGTAAAAGACAAAATTGTAAACTACTTCTAAGACTTTGCTTAAGTATGTTGTAACGCTGAGATAGTGGGCTATCTCAAAGCCAGGATGGCCGAGTTGTAACAGGCCAAGTATATTAAAGATAAGCTGGCCACACTATTAAGAGAGGTGCTATCCCTCTCTCTCAAGAGAGAGCGCCAGAGAGAGCTGCCTGCGTGCAGCGAAGCTCAGTCTCGATCGAACCAAGAACCAACTAGAACGCGTATAATAAATTAAAGTTAAATAAAGAGACCGTGTTCATTCCTGGTACAATTGTTTTTGTAATATATAGGCATAGAAATCGAAATGTAGTCGATTTGTGATAACTGCAAGGGTTATAAACTTCGGCTTGCCGAAGTTTGCTTCATTTTTTGCTGTTATTCATTTAAAACAAGAGAGAACGCTATAGTCGAGTGCCTCGACTATTAGATACCCGTTACTCAGCTAAACAACTTAATATAAATATGCCTTCTTGTATGTTTTTTTTTTTTTTAACATAATGTGAATTATAGTGACCACAGGAAAAAAGGACAAAAAGTTCAAATTATCAATTTGAATTCGACGATCTCTTAGTGCTGGCAGCTTTACAGCACGAGCATCAGCACCAGCGCTGCTTTAGCGCAGGCAGCTTTTGTCCTGCACCAGCAGCTGTGTTTATGTTTTTGAGTGCAATAAATTGACTAGAAATATTAAACATACATACTTATATTGGCTAAACACATACAACCTTAAATAGTTTTATGTATATTAAAGTCTAAATGTTTGCACAACACGAGTAACGGGTATAGCGAATAGCTTTCTTTGAAAGGAGTTATCTTTGCCGGGCAATTGCAACTGTGTACAATGTAAATACATACATATGTATATGCTTACATACATGCACACATACGCCATTGTTTGACTCAGACCTCCAATTTAGCTAACTAGATTTGATTTGCATAGTTCTTGGGATATAGTTCGGTATTGACAAATGAAAACCATCGCAATTTCCTTTAATAGAAATTATCGAGAATTAACGATGACTCTGTTGAGCACCTTGGCCAGCTGTTCCAAAGTCATCCGTTAGATGGCGCCATGAAAGGAGGAAATGTAGGCGCTAGCCAGGATTAAGCGTTTAATGGGTTTTTGGGCGTTAGAGTGGGCGTGGCAAACGATAGGTATTGATGAAACAAATACATATCAATTAAAATTTTCATAGTAGCAGCAAAACTGTGGCCACAGCTTGTGGCTTGTGGGCGTCAGAGGGGGCGTGGCACCATTTTGAAACAAACTTGCGCTGTGTAGGAACTCCTAAAATCTACATGCAAAATGCCAATCTTCTAGCTTTTATAGTTTCCGAGATCTCAGCGTTCATACGGACAGACAGACAGACAGACGGACAGACAGACGGACAGACAGACGGACAGACAGACGGACAGACAGACGGACAGACAGACGGACAGACAGACGGACAGACAGACGGACAGACAGACGGACAGACAGACGGACAGACAGACGGACAGACAGACGGACAGACAGACGGACAGACGGACATGGCTAGATCGACTCGGCTAGTGATCCTGAACAAGAATATATATACTTTATAGGGTCGGAAACGCTTCCTTCTACCTGTTACATACTTTTGCACGAATACAATATACCCTTTTACTCTACGAGTAACGGGTATAAAAATGGGTGGAACGGTAAGCATGCTGAATAAAGCATTGCCAAAGAATAAGTTGTGAATAAAGATAAACGATAAAATCTATTTGCGAATTCTTAAGCTTAATTATAATATGTATTTCCTAACAATACCACATACTCAAACCCATAATTTTGCTTGTGCTTTTATTTATTGGAATTTCTTAGTGGGACTAACAATAAAGTATCAAATCTTAAAATATAAACAAAACTGGTGTATGATCTGATCCCCCATATAAGGGAGCCGTAAGTCCAGATTGGCTTGAGAGTGAAATTGTTAAGCAGGACCTTATAGTCCAGACATAGAGGAGATCGCGCGTTTATAATTCAATGAAGGCTGCAGGCTTTACATTTCAGTGAAGGACACGGATTATCAATAACGACCACCTTTTTCGGGATTCGGTATCATTATGATAATTTTTTTATTTCTTTGGGTCGTAGCCAAGTTTTAGTGATCCCGATAAAGAGCTTGCAAACAACATCAACAGCACTGTTTGAAAGTCGATCAAGTACCTGCCCTTTATAATCTCGTCAAAAAAAATTGACTAATTTAGATTTGTGGAGCGGACAGTAAGGCAAATATATTTTTGGCGGCGTTTATGTGGAATTCATTTCGTAGTAGTATAAATTGCTGGAGGTCCAGTTACCCGGTGAGTTTCTTTAAGGAATGACTGCTTCGATCGGCGAGCTTTGATTTCAGCACCTTTTTTAAGAAATCGCTTATACTAAGCAGTTCGCGCTAAGGCTTCTTTTTGTCTGCGTAAACTGGATCTAATATATAAACAAAGCTTTTTATTGTTTGCCAGTCTGATGAATCAATGTTTTGTGGTAACATTTCTTCTGATCACAAAAATCTTTGACATCTTCGGAGTCAAATACAAGTTATAATTTAACATTGATACATGCTCACGGAAAATTTTTTTCTGGAAAACTTTCTATTGTTTGTTGGATACACAGATTTTTAAACACTTTGTTATGAGGATAATGAATTGTAAATGTCGCTTTAAATTTGACACATAATTTCTAGAAAGGCTTTCTTCCTAATTCTTTAATACGTTAACATTAAAATACTCCTTAGAATTTTTGCGCAAAACCTAAATTATAATAACGGCTATAATAAAGCAGTGAATAGCAATTGAAAAAGTTTCAAGTTGTGACGGGGACCTATTAATTTAATTAGAGTAAAACAAAAAAAATAATTTCAACCAAGCGTAAATCGAACCTCACGACCCGCGGTCTGACAGACATCAGCTGGCCACTTATGTGTTTATTAAAGAGTTAGTTCATGATTTGTCTTTATTTTTAAATCGGCTGGCATATGAAGAGTTTTAAATATTAATTTTTGGGCAGTTTTTGGTTATTGTACAAACTTAAAAATAGTCTTAAGGTGTTGGCCGTAGCCGACTCAGTCTATTTCCTTCCTACATTTAAGGTGATCAGTTTTATATTTTAAGAAAATGCAGTTTAATTTTTAGTTATTTTTACAAAGCAAGCATTTTTTTCAAGATGAAAATATAACTGATAGAATAATCATTATTTGTTGATCTTATATTAATTTAAAAAAAATATATTTTTTTTGAGACAGTAATAACTAAAACTGCTTAAAGCTAAAGCGTTTGACTTACATAATGGATGGTAATCTCTGTCTGAAACACATTCAACCAACCGCACCCGCCAACGCAATAATTAAAGAAATACAAAGTGTTGGAGTTTTTTATTTTCTGTCCCCTAAAACACACGCGCACGCTTTGATGGATGCGGCTGTGGTCAAAGATTAGGGTATAACACAAATGACAATACACTTACTGTAAAGCTTTATGTTGCCGTCCATGTCGCCCCGAGGATTTTTTGCGACACATTTGTAGTTGCCGTAATCGCTGCTCTGAACATTGGTAATCGTCAGTCGCATGGTTGCCTTGTACGACGGATGGCCCGGAATCGTTTCGGTTCTGAAAATATAGAGGCATCAGCATGAGGCAAGTTCAATGACAGCTATTGTGCTAGTTGTGGGTCAGCCACAACGAACGGCATCGGAAAGCAAGGCCAAGGTGAAACTGATAAGCAACCACTTATACCTAATCAAAATGCGACCTACCCAACAGAGCACAGTGGCTCCAGATACTGTTACCCGATCCTCAGTAAAAAAATTGAAATCTGATGTGGAGTGTTTTTCTAATTTTAAGCAATACAGTATTTTATCCTAGAAACCAATGTTCGCTTAAACTCTTGTTGGCTATAATGAGAAAATAAACAATTACCATTTGCAATTAATTCGTTGTAAAAAATATTTTCATACAAAGAATGCATAAAATATTTACATAAGTGCAAAGAATGCTTGAAGTTTCTTTGCTTGTATACGAGAAATTAAAACTGTTAAACAACAAAAAAATGTTTTTAACCGTATAGGAAAAGTTCAAGGTAAGATTTGAAATAAGTTCGTATTTTCGAATGGCTGCAATCCACTGCTCCCTTCCACGATGAAGACTGACAGACGCTGGCCAGCTCTGGTCCGCAGTCTCCGCGATCCGGTCGAATTGTTCACTATCCAGTTACAGTTTATCACAGTCGAAACTATCATGCTGAAGCTCAGCCTGGTGACCTGGCTAATTTTTTCCTTGGCGTGGCGCACCACGCCCACTGCCTGTCGCCAAACTCACGACCCCCAGAGCATCCAGCAGATGCTAGCCGCCCAACTGCAGAGCTACATGGACCCGAAAGCGCGTCCCTGCGAGAACTTCTACCAGTACGCCTGTGGCAACTGGCAGATCCAGCAGCAGGAGCAGCACTCTCCGAGCAAATGGCAGTGGACCAGGGATTGGGAGCGTTACCAAGGGCAGCTGCTGCCGAGTGATACCTTGGGGTTGATAGACCACTCCGTAAACCGGAAACTAGAGCTCCTGCTGAAGCGCAGAAATGAGAGCTCCTCCGAACTAGATTCTACAATTTTGGAGCAGATGCGACTCTACTACCGTTCTTGTAAACGCCTCAAACCCTATAACCTCAAGAAGTATTTACAGCTTCTGGCGCCCAGCAACCGCACGCAATGGCCATCTGTAAGTCGAGGCTGGCGTCGAGAACAATTCGATTGGATAACGACCTTGGGACGACTGCGTCTGCACGGACTGAACGGGGTACTGCTCAGGGAGGATATCTTGCCGCGGTGGGACGACTCGAGCACCTACAGCATCTACGTGAACAAGCCGAGTCAGGACGAGACGCTGCCAATGGGTCTGGGCGTTATTATCGAGCTACTCCTGGACATCGGGGAGACCAAGCGCACGGCGAACGCCTTGGCTCGTCTGGTGGATGACTTCGAACGAAAGTTGCACCGCCTGCAGGAGCTGGAGGATGAAGAAGGTCCTCGGGAAATGCAATTGGGGTACCTGGCCACGTACCTGCCCCAACTCCGATCGGTGACTTTTTTGAGCCAAGTTCTCATTGAAACCCAGATGGACCTGCGTTCCACACTAATCATCGAGAACATTCCCTACCTTCGGGCCCTCAGTGAACTGGTGGATGGCGAAAATCCGGACATTGTCTGCAGCTATATTATGCTCAAGTGGTTGACCTTCCTTAAGCAACAGGGTCCTGCGGAGATATCGCGGAGTGAGTGCGTGGCCAGTCTTCGAAGGGCTATGCCTTTGGCCAGTAGCTGGCTAGTTGGTCAACAGTTCTCTGACCCTGACTCTGAGTCCAACGTCCGGTCTTTATTTCAGCGCCTCAAAGTCCGCTTTGAATTGGTCCTGGCTGAAAATCGGCTTCGCCTATCGCAGCCCCTTGTGCATATTCTTCAGCAGAAGCTGCGCGCAGTGCACCTTCAGATGGGCTTTGTTCAGCCAGAAGAAGTGGAAACTGTTAAGCATTATTACGTCCGACTCGACCTTGGTGGCCATTCCTTCTACGGAAACCAGCTGGTCCTGCTACGCCAACGCGTGGAAGCGAACCACAATTTGCTCTTCATGAACTCGACGAATTTTGCGAAGAGCAACGTCAGCTACCTGGCAGAAAGTTGGGAGGCCAGCAATTCATCACCCCTGTACGTAAGGCCTCGCAACCTGGTGGTAGTGCCCCACGGTCTGCTCCAGCTGCCCGTGTGGCATCGTAACATCAGCGCTCTCCATCAGCACGCTGTGATGGGATTCGCCTTGGCCCATGAACTGGCTCATGGCTTCGACATGTCGGGAATGGATTATGACGCTCTGGGAAACATTATGGGGCCCGTGGAGGAGATCCTTGCTAGTAGACAATTCCGACAGGGACTCCACTGCCTGCAGCAACAGATGGTCACCGGCTCAAAGTGGCTCAACGAAAAGCTGGCCGATTTCGTGGCACTCCGGCTTACATATGAGACCTTCTTCGGAGTGCGGGCTGACAAACGTGAACCACGTGATCCGTTGACGCCACAATTTAGCCAGCGCCAGCTGTTCTTCATCAGCTTCGCCCAGTTCTTCTGCGGCCACACACCCGACCTAAGCCTGCGGTCACAGTCGCAAGCACATTTGGAGCACGCCGCTGACGAGTTGCGTGTAATGCAGACGCTGGCCAACTTTGAGGAGTTCTCAAGGGAGTTTGGGTGCGAAAAAAAAGCCAAAATGCAGCCCAGTCAGAGGTGCCGGCTCTGGTAATAGTCCTTCTCGTTATGTAAATTTTTGTTTCTTATTAACTATCTTTTTTTGCTAATATTCAACTTTTTTGCAAAACTAAAATAGAGTACGATTCTATAAAGAGTGTAATAATCTGTATAGAGGCATCATTTGCTCTGCCTGCGCTCTCGAGAGACTTTTCCAACAACTGGAATCGAGTTCCGTGGTGAATATTTGCAGCTACACTGGTCGCCCAAAAATATTTATTTATTTGCGGTTGTAAAAATAATAAAAAAAACTCGATAGCGTTACCTGAGGAATATTGTAAAGAAGTATTGTGGAAAATTTCAAAACGATTCATCCAGTAGATTTTGCAGGATTGCGTACACCGACTTTTCAGGAGAGCGTTTTAAAGTTTTGGACACCCAAAAATTAATTATAAAACTCGCTTACTCGGATCAATCTAAAGTTTAGAAAAAAAATACAAAAAAAAAAACATTTAAATACTATACCACTCACCAATAGTTTAATTTCTATGAATTTGTTTTTGGGTGTAGTACAACAATATGATTGATATGACAAAATATATATTATCAAAGGGAGACAGTACACGTAGTGGCGATGTCCACCGGGTAAGTGTGCGAAGGCTACTACTAAATATATCCGCATAGGAAAAGTAGCGATGATGTTGAAAACGGTGTAGTTTTTTGCCCAGTAGCATTTTTGTGCAATGAAGACGATTTTATGTTGAGGTTATTTGAAACACAAGATTTTAAGTCGCTTTTTGCAAAATGCTAATTTTTTTGTTTGCCAGTTTCACAAAATACAAAATAAAGTCGTTAAATTAGGATCATGGATACTAGGAATATTGTTAACTTTACATTGTTAAAAAACATTTAAAATATGTGAACAAATACTTAAAATGTTTTAAGGGATTTCGGCAGCCGAATCTGCTAATTATCCATTTTGAACGCGATCACCAGCAATGCAATGGCAACCGGACAAAGGTTTATCAGAAATTTACAAATTTCATAAGCTTCCAAATTTTATAAATTTCATAAATGTCACATAACTACAACGGATGTTATTGAAATTGAATTCAAGAACTTGACGATTAAGTTATAAGTTATCCTTTTTATTTATATCCTATTAATAGACCTATTTATTTTAGATGCAAATATATTTAGGGTCTTAGCCCGGGTTCCAGAAGTAATACAATTTGGCCTTAAATCGAGTCAATATCGTTCTAAAATAAATAATAAAATAAAAATAGTCGATTTAATTTTAAAATAATGTGTTACTAGGATAAGACGGTTTTTTCTTAAAATGTTAGACCGTTTTGTTAGAGTATTAAAAAATTGGTTTTTAAAATGATAACATAATTTATTACAATGACTAAGTGTAGACACTTATTCGGTACACATATAACTCCTTTTCCCTAAATTTAATCAAATTAAAGAATGTCTAAAATAAATTTTAGAAAAAAATGAATCTTAAAATCTAAATTTTAAAATACAAAATTTAAAAAAATTAATTTATACTAGAACTAGCTAAATATTTGCATATCCTTAAGAAAACATTCCAAAAAATAACTATTTTACAATTATCAATATGTTGATAGATTTAAAAACTTAAATTTATTTTTTAACAAGCGCTGGCTACATTTGTCGCTACATTTTGACATCGTTGTCCGATTTTGATAAAACTAAAAGCATAATTAAATAGTATATAATTACTATATCTCAAAGGAATATTTCAATAAATAGAAAACTGCAATATACTTTTTTTCATATTTTTTTTCTAATTTTTTGATTTTTTTTATGGGAGTTATTATATAGTTGCCCAATTATTTTCCGATCGTTTCTATGGGGACTACATGATATACTCGCCCGATCCGGCTTGTACCGACTTAAAAAAACTTTTGGGAAAGTTCAAAGCAGATAGCTTTAAAAATCAGGGGCTAGTTTGCGTAGAAACGGACGGACGGACTGGCTAGATCGACTCTTCTGGTGATGCTGATATATACTTTATAGGGTCGGAAATGTGGCCTTCACTGCGTTGCAAACATTTTACTGAAATTTAAATTAATTTAATTTAACGTCACTTAGCTTCCGAAATAAATTGGTGAGTAATAAAATGAAAATTGTTCTTTATTTTGAAAAATGAATTGGAAGGTTACTTTTTGTTCTACAAGTTATAACGATTTCTCCCATAAATTCAGACAATATTTTCAGAATCTGCGCTTTGCTATCGAAACAGGCAGATTTTCTTTTATTATAAAAATTTTTTGACCTCAATTTTAACGGGGAGGAAATATGGAGATTTTGTAATATTTAGAATGAAAACATTACATTATTTTTAGTGCATTTTATTTTAATTTTCTAATTCTCATAAAATAATGGGCTCTGGTTGGAACTATTAAATTTTTTATAAAAGTTATAATCTGTGACTTAATCCCTACAAGGGAGTGGTGTTAGCACTTGAATTAGCCTAACCAAATATAATCACTAAAGATGATTCTCATGCTGCACCAAGGGTTCCAAGCAGACGCGGCCTCTGAGAAGGCCATAGATAAGACCAGAATAAGAATTTAATGTTAGTTTCCTAGGCATTGACTTAGAAAAATAAATTCAGTTTTAATACAGAACTGGTTTTATTTAAACTACTATCCCTTTCCCACAAAACGTATCTATTTTTTTACTGCTTTATTTAAAGGAAAGCATTTTACATTAATATACATATACGAAAAATCAGCTAAAAAGAGTACTGCTGAATCGAATGGAAGCGAAATAAAAACTAAAGTCATTTCTGAGGAATACCTGATAATGAAATGTACACTAGCAGATCTGAAATACTCTGCCTACCACAACTGACACTTTTCGGGGTAAAAACTTCTCGTTTGACAGCCAAAAGCCTTATGGAACGGGGCAAACCCGTGAAGCATTTGCTGCAAACGGATCTGGTCTTCGTCGTGATCTACGAAATTAGTTGGGTGGCTATCGCCGCAGAAAAACTGAGCCAGATTGAGAAAGAAAATCTGTTCCAGACTAGTATTGGCGAAGTCTGTATAGTTCCTGTCCTTGGCGATCCGTAGGTATGCGGAGTAGGCGAGATCCAGACCGGAAATGTCCGCAACACGCTCATCGAGGTACTGTGTCGAGTTGCGGTTCATGCACACCAAGCCTGCCTCGAAGCGCGGGGACGTGGAAATTTCTGTGCCAGTTTTATCAGCGTTTCCCAGACTGTCGAATAAAAGACCGGTGGTGTCGACGGAATGAATCAACTCATGAGCGATTGTAAATCCCAAAAGGCTGTACTTAAACACGTCGTGGCTGTCTGATACAAAGAACGGCTCCTGAAAGAGGCCGTGGGGCACGATTATAATGTTCTGCCGTATCATGTAGTATGGGGTGGAGCTCATGGCCGTATCCGGATCTGATATGAAGAAAAACTCATCTTTACTCGGGGCCGGCTGGTAAAGTTTTGCCATTTGCTTTTGAGTGCGGAACTCCAGCAGTTTGAGGTGTTCCCGACTGTAGTCCAGGTCTGCAGATGGAAATTCCAGGTCCTTATAGTACTGGCTAACGAAGCTACGATGGTCTCGGCCTCTAGGGATGTTGCCGATGTTAAGGACGATATCCTGCACCTTTGTGCCGACCATACGGTTTTGCCTGCTAGTCAGCCCAAGGCTATTTTTATCGATATGTAGCTGGAACTGGCGGCGCAATTGGTCGAAGAGTTCTATAACTTCTTTGGTGAACTGTTGCAGGGTCGCGGGTTCTAGGAATCGCTCCTTGTAGATCAGGTTTGAGGCTTGATCCATGCCACGGCGCATATCTTTTATGCACTCGATGGGGCTCCTATCGCCCATTGAATCATTTAGGAGGTACAGCACGAATCGGGTCATTATATAGCTAGCCACCATCTGGGCGTCTGAGGTTTCCATCAGCACCTTAAGGGCCGTAAAGTAGTGCAAGTTTCGGACCTGCACTCGAAAGTTAGGTGAAATGCGGTGGTCAACGAGCAACTCGATAAACATCTGCCAGTTGAGACCGGTTCTGTACTCCAATCGTTGCACACTCATAAATTGACTTTCATCATCATCATCGTCCGCTTCGGCTAAGATCCGTATGGCGTGTTCTAACCTTCTTATCTTCCTCGCGAGAGGAACTACACTTTTTGACGGCACTTTCATAACGTGAAGAGTTGCGAGGGTTTCCATGAAACTGTTTAGGTGCTGCGACTCTTCCTCGAAACTGGGCATACTGAGATTCAATAAAAATTCGCTACTGTTCTCAAAGTTCTGAGTTACCATTACGCTTACTATAACATTGGTAAGACCATAGCGATGCAGATATCCCAGTGTCTTGATCCACTTAAATTGTTCCTTGGGCCAAGCGGTCTCACCAGGTGTTAACTGGGGCCATGTGAGACCCTTATCTGGGGGAGCCAGTCTCAGATAGTGTTCAGCACTGCGCGTGTTCAGTGAAGCATCGCGGCAGGTAATATAGAATTGCAAGGCTTTGGCTTCCACACTTGACTCGTTCAGAACCGCCGACTGCGAACGCTGGTTCAGCTCCTCCATCAGTAGGACGAGGTTTTTATTGACCTTATGGTCTAGCATCTGGATGATCTCGGTGAAGGAATCGTCGATATGGCGCGTCGCATACTTGCCGCACGCATACTCGAAATAATTTCCGCAGGCGCTGGCATCCCCGACTACATAGCTGAGGATGTTGTCCAGAAGACGTGTATTGGGATCAGACTCGGTTTTCTGAGCTGTGAATGCAGCGCAAATGGGAATAAACAATATGCAGGCAATCCACTTCATCGCGGCAAGCACACTGAAACAAGAGCCCAGATTAAAAGTACATTTTTCGATTGTCTACTTTGCTAAATCAGGGAAATAATGTTCACAACAGCTGATAACTTACTAAGGAGATAAGCGAATGCGTCTTCATTTAAGATTTACAAAAATAAATTGCGCAATAAATTTGCTTTCTGCTTTACACTTACTCGTACTTATATGACTCAATAATCATTTGATCGTTTTCCCGAGTCCAATAGTTTAGTGATGTGGGGTTAGCCTCGATAAAGCACTCAAGGGTGATGTTGAATCCCATTGGTATGCCCACCAGTTGATGCGGTATCCAAACCATTGGCGAGACTGAAAGGACAAGCCCGTGCAATTTACCGAACTAAAACTTAACTCAATAAGATTGTTTACTTACAGTCCACGCTGACTTTTATTCGCTTGGACACACTAGGCGGTACTCCATTGGAGGCGATGCATAAGTACGCGCCCATATGCAGGCGCGAAATCCGCTCCAGTTCAAGGGAGTCCGCCTCCAAGTCATGCACTACACATTACACGGGGAAGGTAAGTCAAAGCCTTAAGACTAAAATAGAGGTAAGCTCACCTTCTAGCGACTTATTAATCACTATTTTGTTTCCGTCATCTCTCTTCCACTTAATGGCAGGTTCGGGACTGCCTTTCGCCTTGCAGCGCAACGTCACGTTATCGCCCTCTCGCACAATTATGTCACTGGAGGTCAGGGCATCGTCAATGTTGGGCGGCACTGAGATGGGCAAGAAGTTATCATTAAAGAAAAAATTGTATCTGTTCCAAAAATATCAAAACGATAACAATATTTCGTTGGCAGAAGAGCCGAAAACGGATAGTAAAAATTAAATAATTGAAATATTATTATTATTATTAGCAAATATTCCGTAAAACATGGTTGTTAAGGGGAGATCATCTTTTTCGAACAACTGACAAGGTAGTCAGAAAATGGAAAAAATATACATTTCACGCATTTTTAAATCTAAGTCGTTGGACAACTTTAAAAATAATAATTATCGCATCCAGGTTTAGACATGGAGTTATTCTCTTAAAAAAAAGAAGCGGTTCATTGTTAAAGAGGTTATTTTAATCGTCGGGAAAAGTCTTTTGTATTTGAACTATCAAATCTGTTTTGTAAAATCTATGCAAGTCACCAAGAATCATCAAAGGGTTTAAAATGGTTTTTTTCTTTTTACCCTCAAATGTTCCAAGAGTTCATCCTTGTTATAACTTTTAGCACGTCATAACCAATATAATCTCTAAGATGCGTAACGCCATACGATTTTTTTGCACACGAATTTTTTGTGCGGGCTTTTCAACTGGCTTTTCGCTCTCTGCCCAAAAGCCAACGAGAGAGCGCTCAAAAGCCAGCCGCTCTTTGCACGCATACTGCGACAGTCGACGAATGTATGTGTGCACATGTATTCACACGCGAAGAAATTCGCTGCAGCGCGCTGTCGAATATACTCTTTATTTTAAAATTATAACATTATTAAAAATACTTATTTTGTATTGCCTTTATATTTACTTTATTTACTAATTATTCGAATGTATAATATTTTTTAGTAATGACCAAATATATCTAAGTATAAATAAATAACATAATTTATTTCATACATGACTTCACATTGGAATAATTGTCATTAGGGTATTCAGCATGCGACTTGTGAACGATTTTTAGGAGCCTCAGAAATTTTGCGATTGAACAGGATGAATATTTTTATATTTATTGTATTTTAAATATATGGATTAAAAAATATGTGGTATTTTTATATTATACGTATTATAATAACATTATATAAAATTATTATCATAGTATAAATTAAATTTATACAAATATTCGTATATTAACTATTTTAATTATTTAGAAAAAAGAGAAACGCAAAGGGGAAACAAAAACTTATTAAAAATTAATTGTAAGCGACACCAATAAATAAATAATATTTTACTGAAAAATTAAAAAAAAATGGCATCGAAAAAACATTCTAAAAAATATAACAAAACGCTTTCGATAACTTCGAAATAAAGTTATAAATATGTATGTACGTAATATTAAATATAAATAGGATATCCTGTAGCTTAGTTTTATAATTAAGCATTCAATTCGTGTTGTTATAAATAGTTTAACTTTTTATAAAATAATAATATTAGCTTTAAATATTTATTAGGTATACAAAAAAATCGACGGATAAATAAAAATGAATATCTGCATATTAAATTAAATGTTTCGTTTTATATATTTAAATTAATTATAAAAACATACGTTTTAACACAAAACATATAAAACTGCTTGAATAAATAAGAATAGATTTAAATGCAGGTTGATAATATTAGATATGATGTTATTCGTATTTACTTAAAATTTTGTAAGTCATTAGATCAAAGTTTAATATATTTGAATAAAAATTAAATTTAATATTTCCATTTTAAAGTTAGCCATGGCTTAAAAAATAAAGCGAAATATATTTAATTAAATATCCTTTAAATATATTCAATTTAAATATAGTAAGTATAGTTAACAATCATAGTATATTCAAATCTATAAAACTTTATTGAAATATTTTTAAATTTAATCAAGCAGTTTTATATGTTTTGTATTAAAAGTTATGTTTTTAGCTTTAATTAAAATATGTAAAACGAAACTAAAAATTAAATACACAGATATTCATTTTAAAGGTATATAAAAAAGTTTTACATCAAGCTTCATTGCCATATATACATAAATGCAATTTAAATAAACATCCTATTCAATCATAGAAGTTCTTTTGACACACAATTAGTTTCTAAGTCCAGAAATGATTTCTGGACGAAAATCGTCTTCTCGAACAAATACGCACACATACGCACTTCCTTATTCGTGCAATTCTATTTTTAGATTTTTACGCTCTCAACTTTGTGCGAGCGGAGGGAGCGGAATTTTCGTCGCCACCAAAAAACGAGCTGCATATTGCAAATCAATGTATAGGCGTTACGCATCTTAGAGATTATATTGGTCTTTATCATAACTATGAGACCTTTTAATGAAAAAGTGTAATTAAAAAACAAAAGTTTCATAAGCTTATGCCTTAATAGTTTCATCGTCCTTTTCCCCAAAATGAAAAATGTTTTTTAACGCCGGACAAACCAGAAAAGAATATAAAAGCAAAAGTCAGCTTAAATAGGGTAACCAGCAGATGTTGTTTCCTAGTTTTATCATATTTGGTTTATTTTAAGTATTTTCAGCGTGAGAGATGATACCAAACATTTTCCATTGACAACGAAACTTATTATTTGTTCTGCTTTAAAAACAGGCAGCAAAGTTTTTACAATAATGTACATCCTATTCTTTTTTTTTTGGAAATAATGAAAAATGGCCCAAAAAAGAAAATCGCACTGAAATTTTAGAGCAAAATTGGCAAAACCTGACAAAATCTTGCCAAAGTAGTTAAGAATTTCTTGTTAATCTTGGGTTTGTTAACAAGCAGTTAAAATTCAAAAATCTTCTTTGCGGGAAAGAGGCTTTAAAGGATATTCTCAACTACTTTGACAAGACATGTTTGCTGCTGATATTGATATTATTTGCAAATTTAAAGTTCATAGCTGCACTTAGTTCTAGCAGGCGATTTTTCTAATTTTTTTATTGTGTTTGTTCGTACATACATTTTTTACCTAAAAAACTATTTGCTCACAACGAAATTAGAAAACAATATAATTTAAATTGAATATTTTTTTTATTACTGATAATTATTTGGTAATTAAAAGATCATAGCTGCCTTAAGTTCTTGCAGCAGTTCTTTTTCTGGGTTTTTGTTGTGTTTTTCAGTTCATTTTCAGTCCATTTGACCTAAATATTACATTTTTATACCCTTGCAGAGGGTATTATAATTTTGGTCAAAAGTGTGAAGGAGACATCTCCGACCCTATAAAGTATATATATTCTTGATCAGAATCACCTCCTGAGTTGATATAAGCATGTCCGTCTGTCCTTCTGTTCGTCTGTCTGATTCTTCGCAAACTAGTCTCTCAGTTTTAAAGATATTGAATTGAAACTTTGCACACACCCTTCTTTCCTTTGCACGAAGTATATATGTATGTCGGAACGGCGGGGATCGGCCGACTATATCCTATAGCTGCCATATAACTGATTGATCGGAAATGCCATAACTTTGGTGTTTGTAAAGTTAGGAAGTTGGAATTTTCTATGGGTTTTATATTTGACCAATCAATCCGACCTACCAAATGTTATAAGGATCGGCCGACTATATCCTAAGCCGCCATATATCTGATTGATCGGAAATGCCATAACTTTAGTGTTTGTTAAGTTAGGAAGTTGGGATTTTTTATGAGTATTAAGAATGCATCATATGAATAATTTTGGAGAATATAATTTACAGAGTATTCTGCAAGGGTATATCAACTTCGGCTCCGCCCGAAGTTAGCTTTCCTTTCTTGTTTTCAATCTTTTCGCTAGGGCGCGACGAACGCTCACCCAAAGTTCAGTTCGGCAGACGCTATAGCCTAGTACTCAGATCGACAAAAAATGTTCGTCAGTCATAAGAGAGAGCGAGAGGCAAACAGCTGGCATTCACTTTTCGTTAGGCTTTTTTTCACCTCCGTACTCAGATCGACGAATAAAATACCAAAAAATTAATTCGCGTTGCCAACCCCCTGAAAATAACTTTTAAACCCTAGCGAAAAGATTACAAAATTTAATCTTTTGGCGTGCGCTTCTCACTGAACATTTTGAAAAATGGAGGTAAAAATACAAAAACCCGTAAAAGTCGATTGCAGAAGTTTACATGTGAGGACAAAATAACATTAATACTATCTGTGGAGTCCCGCCCAGAATTGTGGCATTTGTCAAATAAAAAACATTTTAATGTCACCTTTATAAAAAGAGCGTGGGAGGAAATATCCTGTGAAATGGATAAATGCAGTAAGTTATAATTGTACATTATTAAATATTTGTTAACGTGGACATATAAAATATTTATGTTTAGATAATAGTTGCAAGCTGCCGTGTATGACCAAAGAGTGGAAAAGCTGGAGGAATCTTTTGGGGTGCCTCTTGTCAAAATGTACGAAAAACACAATAAAAGTGCAGCTCTGAACTTTAAATTAGCAAATAATTATCCGTAAATCAAAAGAAAACAACTGTTAAATTTAAATTGTATTGTTTTTTAATTTCTTTGTAGAGCGGCAGACTAGTCTTGCCAAGGTAGTTGATAATATTTTTAAAAGGCTCTTTCCCGCAAATACGATTTTTGAATTGTAACTGGTTGTCAACAAACCCAGCGAATTGACAGTACGACCATAGCACGATTAAAGATTAAAGTTTTTCCGCTAGCGAACTCCTTTGTCGATCTTATGCAATTTTCAGGTATTTTTTTCGTCGATCTGAGTACCGGGGTTAAAAGGAGCCTGACAAAAAGCGTTCGGCAGCTATTTGCCTCTCGCTCTCTCTCATAGCTGACGAACAGATTTCGTCAATCTGAGTACTAGGCTTTTTTTGTACTTTTAAAATCGAAATATTAAAGATAAGGCCACCATCTGTTGACCCTACGTGTTAACTCATCTTTGTTAGCTTTGTGGAATCAATCAAAAGCTTCCAATTCGTTTACAAGGAGATTTAATGAAGTACATTGCACTAAAAAAGAAGGTGTCCTGAGCCAGAAAGGAGGACATACAAAATCTTAGCTGTTAAATTACAAATAATAAGTTAAGTAGAATATACTGCACGAAATAAACTGCGCCATG